CAAACAACAGCCTGCGGGAGACGGAACATCTAAGGATTTTTGCGCTATGCCTGCCCGGCTCGCTGGCTCAGTTGGTTAAACCTGACTGCGCGGGTGACGAACTTGTTGTGGTCCGGGTTCACACCTGGGGGTAGGCGCAAAAGCCACATTTCTCCCAGATTTAGGGTATCTAGCATGGAATCAAGGTCGAAGAGTTACGATATCCATAGTACCGAGCCAAAGGGATAACAACTCATGGTTTCTAGATTTAAAAAAAAATGAGCTCTGCTATGTTGTCGATTCTTATATCAGCAAATTTGTCGGAAACAAAAATAGAGCTTCAAAGAGACAAGTGACAAAATGGTTATTGGGGAAAACAAAGTTTAAATATGTTAGCCATGTTAAAATATATAACACTTATAAATACCACACTAGAGGGAAACGTTGAAAGCAGACGAGCAAAAGGCAGACAGTAATACAGTTGGAAGGACAGCATAACAAAATATAGCACACACCTTTCGTGAATGTTGGAATACATATAGGATGACCCCCATCTCGATGTGGATAAATTATTTTCCTCGCCATCTGAAGGTTGCTGGTACAATTTTGAGCTTCGATGTTCAGTTTGTAAATGCAGATGTTTCTGATATCCCCCTGGATCGTCTCTGGAGCTACTGGATTTTGTGCTTTGTGCGACTCTCTGGAAACAGTTGTTATGAGGAGAGAGGAGAGCTGGGATAAAACCCGTTTTAATGACGTTAAGTCTATCAATACCCTCTTTTGAAGTTAAGAATAAATTAGTGATGAAAAGGTACACATAAATATTTGTAAAAACAACAAATTTGACGATAAGCATTGTTTTCAGCCATTTGTTAGGCAGCAAAACTGTACTTTTAAAGGCTGGTTTACGTCCCCTGTTTTGCTCGGAACTTTAGATAAACAAATATGTTGTACGGAGTAACAGACCATAACAAAACAAAGCCTCAATAGAGAGCCTAATCTGTCGGCTCTAGACTTAGCCTCTTGCCTAGCACGTTCTGGAATAATCAATCTTTGCTTTTTTGTAAGTTACATACAGTTAGGTTTTCTTCGTAATATTTTAACATGTTTTCACGATGTCTTTTGTAAATCTACATAAATCTACGCTGACAAATAAAGCAGTGGAGTACAACCCTGTTTGTTTTTGCGATGTTCTTTAAATGTTGTACGTCGTTCCTTACCCGCGCAGGGCTGCATGATACACCAGGCTGCTGTAAGCTTTACCGATGCTCTAACTATAACTGCGTTGGAGGCTGAACGGAGTATTTCGGACTTGGCCTGTTGATCTATCGGCTAGGATAAGACGCTACAAGTCTCAAGGGTCATCGCATCTTCAGGTAGAAACTCCAAGGGGAAAACAGACTGACGGGCATCATTATTAAGTTCACAGATCTGTGTTGCGTCTGACATACGCAGCTTAATACGTCTGCAAATTTGGCGGTAAACGCGAAATGGTTGTAGATAACATTATGTTCTCATATGGGTTTTGTGGCCCCATTAAGGAGGAGGGAGATAGAATAAGCCCACTGTCGCCTAACAAGCATGTCGTAGGGTAGGAGGTGACTAATTCTGTATGTTTCCTTGCAAGTCTCAGGGTATCTGCCGGAGAGACAAGGAACTAACAGTATGCATAATTAAGCTAGATATATTAAACGGACGTGCACGCGAAACTCATATTTTGGAGCAAGTCTGAGGTCCGGTAATGGACGAACAACCAAAACTTTCAGGTGGAGTTTACAGCCGGTGAACGCGAAAAAAAGAGAGAACATTCCGACAATGAAATTTATACAAGGGACAACTGCAGATATAGACAACTTATTTCAGGCGAACGAAAGAAGGAGTTAAAGAATTCCGAGTGATTAAAAAAAAAGTAAAAGTAAAGGACCCTTTTCACGCCTTTAGGCGTATAGGGCATATGGGACTAGAACTGTATTTCATAGACCAATCGGCACAAGATGGGTGATGTGGTCAGTATCACGCCGTCCGCCTTTTACCTCCTAGAACTGCACCCGGTACCCACTCAGGACTGGGTCGACCTGGGAGTCAAAGTCATTTTTGAAGAAAAGTCCGGGGAGCAAACCCCCGACCTTCCGATCCGCATGCGGGCGTATTGCGAGGGGTTACTTGTTTTATTCAGTCGATCATGTGGGTGCCGTCTCCACAGTGAAGGTTGGTTGCATTGGATTTTCAGCATCCTGTCTTTCGGTACGTTTATTTACACTGACGTGTTGCTGTTCATCAGCATATTGATGTTCATCAGCATACTGATGTTATCTTCCCACGTATATCGCAGGGGGTGTACTATGGAAGTAAAGGCGACCGACGTAATGTTGACCATCACTCATCGATTGGTCTATAAAATTCTGTGTCTAGATCCATATGCCTCCTGGGGAAGTAAGGACGGCCGGCGTAATGCTGACCACATTACTGATCTAGTGCCGTTGGTCTGTAAAAAATATGGGCGCTCTTCCTATATACCGGATACGCCTAAAAAGCGTGTAAAGGGTTCTTTAAATTTTTTTTATACCTATAAGCCTGACCCAGCACTGGCGTAAAACAAAAACAAAAGGGCCCTTTACTTTTACCTCACATGTGACTGGCGAGGGGCGTACATCACAGCACTCGGGGCAGATCTATGGGTGCTGTGATTCCCTCCCCCCTTCCCCACAGTAGCTGCACAAGTATAGAACGACCGATCACACCTGTTTTCTGTTTTGTTAATCAAGAAGTAGGGGGACGAATCTATTGTATGGAAAGATGGAAAGGTGCCAATCAGTTAGCGGAGATGACTGAGGAGAAGATGGATTGAAGGAGTCACTGATCCCTCGAGACTCCCCACCATCACATCATACGGGGGGGGGGGGGGGGGGTAAACCTAACGTGCTGTAGCTCAGATACCGACCACCTGCTAACCTGCGACGCCCAGAATATTGAGAGAAAAAAATCTAGACGCTGTGTGTCCTTAGTAAAATGCTCTGTGCTTTATTAATATCTAACCTCAAACAGGGGAAATCAACAGGTCACGGAACAGTCTAATATTTCAGGGGGTGTTAGATAGGCTGCATGCAGTCATGGGACATAGGATGCACTCTCTCGTGGGACGTAGGTAGGTGGGTTAGGGCCAGTTCTAGATGTTTTGGGGTCGTTAAAAGCATCAGAAAGCCTGGAAACCTAGTCTTACCACCCTCTTAAATGTTGGACTGTCCTATGACGCCATCTTTGGTAGGATATTAATAAGCACCAAATGCTCCTGTCTGGTAGCAAACACCGCTCCACCCCCACGCCCGCTCCCATATCCACCAGCCTGGATAGGGAGGGATACATACAGTCACGCCATTTTGGCCATGTTCATCTTCGCAATGTGCGTCACGCAAGCCACTGACGGCATCGCTTGTGTGTTTAGACCACAGTAAAGTCGCCTCTCTCAGCTCTGGCGCCGACTACGATTTTTGAGGCAGTGGTATCGGTTTTGCAGGAGTAACTTCCAGTCCCAAATAAAGTACCCGTTTGACGCCAGTGATGCCAAACTCATAATTCTGTAGACCACGACGGGTGATGTGGTCCCATCACGCTGGACGCTTTTACCTCCCAGGCCAATAACTGGTGCCCATTTTCAGCTTCGTGGATTTGTGAACGAGGGTCAGTTGGAAAAAAAAAAATAACAGATCCGAACTAAACTTCAGGCTGGAATGGCCAGACACTTGCCGTTTACTGTATTTTTCCGTGTTTGAGACAGTTAAAGTTTTCCGAAACGCTTTCAGTTTAAAATTAGGTGTCGTCTTCTACACAGAATGTGTTTAAAATATTTATTTCTTAGTTTAAAGGAATGCGTGTCATCTTATACCTAGGGCGTATTTTACACGAAACAAATACGGTAATATTTTATGGTGCGTAATGAGTTAAAGCATCAGCTGGGTCGCTAAGGTCAATGTAACAGAAGAATTGACCTGTACAAGTTAACTCTTTCAGAACCAGACAGTTGTTACTTCAACAGTTTCCAACCTACATTTTGTGTACTTTTGAGCAGTGTTCTTTAATCTTTGCTCTGTGATCCAGGTGGGCCACACACATAATTGTTGCTTGATCATGTGATGAGGTAGGGTAGGTGTTGTTTCTCTTTCCAGTCTGTAGGTTTGACACCTCGTGGTCTTCCTGCTTGTGTGAAAAGACTCTCTCAGGCAAGTTAGATATACAAATAATACTGATAAATTTAATGGATGTTATTGTAGCGCTTTGTCTGTCAGAAACAACGCTCCAACCACATAAATAAGATTTTCAAACATCTAAGCAGCAGCAGATGTCACGCTAGCTGACAACTGTAATTTTTTGACATCTTATTTAACAAACAAATAACACTGCTGTCTACAATTGTTTTTCTTTCGTGTTTGGTTATCTAAACAGTGTTCTTAGTTTTTGTGGGCCTCTGGCGTAAAAAAGGTTTGAGGCACACTGCTTTAGAGCAACAGTCTTTGATTCAGTGAAATACAATTACAGAAATATCAAACAGGATGAAGTAAATTAGTCACCGTTGTGGATAGTAAGGAGAAATTAGACGGTGTAAATCATTTATAGAGTAATTAATAATCGTAAATTTGTTTGATCATTAAAGAGGTTAATGGGGGGGGGGCGCTAGCTTTTTGCTGACTTTGCAAATTACATATCTCAAGGACCGTTGTTTTTTTCTGTGTTAATATATATAATATATATAGGTGTTGCTAATATTCTTCTGCCTACTGCTGTTGCTGCTGCTATATCACGACCGTTGCTGCTACTATTGCCACAGCTGTTGCTGCCACTGCTACTCTTGTTGCTACTACTACTAGTACTGCAGCTGTTATGCTACTGTAATCATATCATTTATTTATATCTGTATTAAAATACTGTATTGCTTGTACATTTCCAGGCCTTCTGCTGGTTTATGAGGGCTGAGCTACAGTAGAGAAACACAGGACGTCCAGAAGTATTACAGACATCAGGACAAAATGACGTCAGCACTAAGCATAGAGAATCTTCGGAAACTTTACAATCAGACAATGGCCACCGCAGGTCAGTTGCTGCTCTGTGTTGTACTGTAATGTTTCACACATTTGTCCATTGTTATTGTGGGTAATTGTGTTCCCCTTCTTCTGTTGCCTTTCAACTCATAGTGAGGTGTAGCGCTTAACTCATTCGTCAGCTGTTAACCCCGGCGGGGAGTTCTAGTTGTGTGTCCACTTCTAGATGTTGGCCTTGTTTTTTGAACTTGAGTGTGTGATTTAGAGGTCCCAGTCTCTGAGTCTTAATGGGTGAAAATAATATAATGATGTGATAAAACATGTTCAAATAACAGCTGGGACAAAATGAGTTAAGGTAACCCTAGAATAGATTGGATAGAGGATAGAAGAGCTGTATAAATTCTATTCTGATATGTGGACGAGAATCATGGACAGCTTGAAGATTAGTGAAAAATTATTTGAAAGTGGCAAAGGTGTGTTTTTATAGACAAATGATGAGAATACTTTAGACAGATAAAAAGAGCAATGAAGATGTCTTGAAAAAAACTGACTCACGAAGATAACTGATTGCCGACATCAGACAGTCTACATTCTTTGATCATCATCATCTTCGTCTTCTTTGTACAACGGCAATAAGCTCCTGTGGAAAATCCTGACTGTTTGTCCATTTTGGCTTTATGCTAGGGCCTGAGTTGTGCATGTACATCCAATTTTACTGGCCTATTTGTGTGCACTTGGTTGTTCCTCGCAGCTCGGGTAGATGACTCAGACTTCGAATGGAAGCCCCCAGTTGGTAGACTCCTAGGACATGCTTGTTGGGGGATCAGTGGGTCTTTTCTCTTCCCCATAATGGGGCCCTGGAACCCACCTGGGGAATCATCATCATAATTTTTACTCTGTCGTTAAGCGTATTGGCAGAGGGAGGGGAAGCAGTGTGCAATCCATTGCTTGATGAGCAGCAGCCGCTGTTGTCATTTTATGTCAGTCTAGGAGCTATTTAGTGTCATCATTCCAGTTTCTCCAAGTTTGGCCTCTTGCTTTCACTTCAGATTTTTTCTCATGCACCTGTGTTGGTAGTTTGTTCTGTCTGCATTCTTACAAGATGACTAAACTATTTGATCTTATGTTTGTTGCCTGATTTTGTTCTTTCATTTCTAACTTTGTCTCATGGTTAAAAAAAAATGAAGTTGCAGCTGATACTACTAATATGTTGACTTGAGTGTTTGTATGTGTGCGTGTGTGCATTTGGGGGGGGGGGGGGGAGCTACTGTCAAATGTTTTGACTGCAACGATGTCACTTCATTCATTATCATAAATCTTGTTGAAGCTAGGATGTTCTAGAGAAATCCTACACATGAATGTTTATGAGAGAGATAAGACGACTCTAAACACCCTAGTGAAGAAAATTGTACAGGATACAAGGGAATGAAGTAATTGACTGTGAGCCCTGTGACGTATAACAGCATAACAGCATACATACAGTTTTTTTTAAATTCATTCCTCAAGCTTTTCACTACTACTAATTTAAAAACAAAAAACTGCATAGCTACCGAAAGGAAATTAGTTTTATCATTCAGAAACATTATTTAGTGAGTGAAAATGGTCAAATTGCACACAAGAATGTCTTCAGGTTTAACCAATCACTTGACAGTTTTTTTGCATCTTGAGTCAATGATAGTTTTTACGGTCTTTCCTGTCAACTAATAAAAATATGCCATTGGATAACTGTTTAAAAAACATTTTTTTAAAAGACAAATGTAGTTGACAAATGGTTGGGGCATATTGAAAGAATGTCAGATGACAGAGAAGTAAAAACTGTATATACAAGGGAGATGAATGGTCGTAGACTACAAGGCAGACCAAGAAAAAAATGGAGAGATAATGTCCAGACAGACCTGCAAACACTTGGTGTCACCAACTGGAAAGAGAAGGCTAACCAGAGAGATGAATGGAGGCGGGTTATATCTGCAGCAATAAACCTCAAGGGCTTGGAATGCTGAAGAAGAAGAAGATTTTACATTCTTAGATCATCATCTTCGTCTTTTTTGTACAATAACTGTTTGCCCATTTTGGCTTTATGCCAGAGCCATATCTTACAGCTCAACAATTTGTCATATTGCCTTTAATAAATGTGCTTTAATATAAACACTCATTACCTTATCTAAGTTTTGTTGCTTTCTCTCATTCCAGACCCTCGGTGCGACAGCTACCCATTTCTGGGTGCCCCTGACAAGATGCTGGCCATGATTGGCCTGTATTTGTTCATTGTGTGGCAAGGGCCTAAATTTATGGTGCCTTACAAGCCCTGGGATCTAAAACATACCATAATAGTTTACAACTTTGCGATGGTCATCCTGTCGCTCTATATTTCCATAGGGGTAAGTCAGCAAGTAGTTTTATGTAACTTTGTGTATTTTGATTTGAGTTCATAAGCTGGTCTTTCAAGTTAGGAGTAAAAGCATGGGGTAAAAATCTCAAAGCACAGGGTAGATATCCCAAAGCTTGGAGTAGATATCCCAAAGCTTGAAGTAGATATCCCGAAGCACAGAGTAGATATCCCAAAGCTTGGAGTAGATATCCCAAAGCTTGGAGTAGACATCCCAAAGCACAGGGTAGATATCTCAAAGCTTGGAGTAGATATCCCAAAGCTTGGAGTAGATATCCCAAAGCACAGAGTAGATATCCCAAAGCATGGGTTGGAAATCTCGGCCAACATAAAACCTCATTTTTCTTATGAAACTGAGATTGAAGCCTTGAAATCAGATGAAACCCTTAGATGAGGTTACCACCTGGAAATGGAAGGCCAAACACAGAAATGTATGGAGGAGTATGAAATCTACAACAAGAATCTCAAGTGCTCGGAGGGCTGAAGAAGCTAATGTACTGCATACTTTTGGTACATGTGATAACGGTCATTATTTATTAGCTTTCAGCCTAAATGGGAAGAGAAGAACGTAGAGCACGGGGTAGACCAAGAACAAGATGGAAGGATAACATCAGAGAAACTCTACAACAGCACGATGTGCCTATGGTCGAGGCAGCCAGAAGAGCTAGAAACAGAACCTTATATCTCCCTCAACACCCACAGCGGTAAAAGAGGAAATGAAGAAGAAGAAGAAGAAGCTAAATTAAAAAAAAAAACCAGTTGTACTGTTATTAAAGAGCGACATATAAGATGACAAAAATGCCCTAGTACTGGCTGCCACATAGAACAACAGTGAAGAAATATAATGAGCAAGGAGATACCACACCAAATGTGGAACAATGACAAAAACACATTAGAAAGTCCACACAGACAAAGTGTATCGTGTTATGCTACACATAGTATAAACCATATTTGTCTGCGTATAGAATGTCCCCGTGCATAAAACACCCCCCTTCCCCCACTTAAGCCCTAATTGATGGTATAAAATGCCCCCTGTGCATAACACCCCCCCCCCCCCCACTTAAGCTCAAATTTAAGAAATAAATAGTTTTTTCTTCTTCTTTAGCATTCTGAGCCATTGAGGTTCATTACTGCAGATATCACAACCTCCACTCACCTCTCTGTTTGGCCTTTTCTTTCCAGTTGGTAACACCAAGTGTTTGCAGGTCTGTCTGGACATTATCTCTCCATTGTCTACGACCATTTATCTCCCTTGTGTATACAATTTTTACCTCTGTCATCTGACATTCTCTTAATACACCCCAGCCATCTCAGCCTATTAGCTCTGATGATGCCAGTGATCAATGGTGATTTAAACAGATTATGAATTTCATTGTTGCTTCTCACTCTCCATTCTTAGCTGTTTACATTTTTTATAGGTCCAAAGATTCACCGTAATACTCTGTTTTCTAAAACCTGTAATTAGCCTTTGTCTCTCTGAAAATATTGTGGTTACTTACTGTATATAACACGACCCCCAATTTTAACACTAAAAAATTGGGGAAAACATATTGTCTTATACACAAACAAATACACTATGTTCTTACTATGAGGTACGTTTTCTAATTAAGTTCTGCTTTTACCACACCAACAAACACCAATGGAAAATGTAAATGTGCATTTCCAGTATATTTATGTGGTTCATTAGCTAGCTGTGTGTAATTTTTTATTTCACTGTGAACATTTAGTTTGATGCTGCATGCCCGTGATTTATAAAGAGTGCAAAAATAAGTACTCCAGCTTATTGCGAGGTTCCTGCTGTGATCAGTTGTTTTTTTGTTTTTTTGTTAGCAAAAAAACAAGTGCTGGAGAAATTCAGAGACAGCTCATTGAGGTTTATGGGCCTGATGTTATTAATGATAGTGTGATTAGGAAATGGTGTTTAATGTTTGAAGAAGGGTAAACACACAATGAAAATGATGGCAGTTGGCCGAGTGTAGTGACAGAGGATTTTATTGAAGAAGATTTAGTTGAAGAAGTGAAGCAGAAATTTCAGGAAAATTGTCATTTCACAATCTCTGCACTATCTGTCGAATTTTTGGAAGTCTCACGTTCACTGATTTACAACATTGTGACCAGAAACCTTGGATACAACATTTTTTTATGCCAGATGGGTACCAACATTTTAAACCCATTATCACAAGCAGAGATGCCTGGTTTCAGTTAAAAAATGTTTGCAGCACTATCAGAATGTCAGATGAATTTCATGGGGCACATTTTTACTGGAGATGAGACCTGAATTTCCTGCACAAACATCAAATCAAAGCAGCAGTCGTTGGTCCCAAAAGCAAAGAAGTTTAAATGGTATGAAACTGATAATAAACTGCAATCAGGCGTTAATGAATGGCTCAAGACAATGGCGACAGACTTCTGTGACATTGGAATTAAGAACCTTGTGCGGTGATACCAAAAATGTATTGAAGTCAGTGGTGACTATTTTGAGAAATAATGTAAATGTGTGGTTCACTTTTAGTTTTATATATATGATGTTTTTTTTTTTAATTTGTTATACCAGGACTTACTTAAAAAGTGTGCTTCATATAAATAATGCTTACACAAAACCTCTTTCATCTTAGTCTTTTTTTCCTTCTTCCTCATCTTCTTTTTCTTCTTCCTCATCCCTTTCATATAATTTTATTTTCTTCTTTGGTGTCCCTATCAATGGTGGCTCATAAGTCATCGTTGCTAAAATGCAGACTCTTACATACATATGTGCAACAGTCAGTTGGTCTGTTCAACCTCTTGTGTGCATGCACACATGTCCAAGATAAAAAGCTGCAGTTCCGCAGTCTCTGAACCACTGCTGGTACTTGTCCTCTTGGTCCTCCTTCTCCCTCTTTTTCTTCTTTTTCATTTTCTTCCTCCTCCTCCTTCTTCTTCAGCATCATCATATTTTCTTATCTTTTCCCCTCTTCCTTCTCTTTTTCCCCTCTTCCTTCTCTTTTCCCCCTCTTCCTTCTGTTCCCACTCCTCTAATGCTACTTCTTCCTATAATGATGCAGGGATATTCATCTATTGCCCTTTTGTTTCCTCAGACAGTTGTTGGGATTTACAAGGCTGGTGGATACTCGGTGTTCTGTGATTCACTGGAGAAGTATCAGGTGAATGAGAACAATGAAACAGTAAGTTTTGTATTTAATCCATAAGGCCCAGCAGACGGAATAAAACGGGGTTCTTCAACCTTTGTGTACACCTGTGGAGCGGGAAGATAGGAGACAGATGTCTTGTGGACCTGCTAGCGGCCAATGTGTATACAAAAACGAATGGAGATGGCTTTTTTAAATTTATTCAATGCATTGCTATAAAATTACAGATTTGAGCTGTGTGACAACTACTTCTGCTAAAGGGTTAGAAGATCTTATCTACATGGCTGGAGTGTTGTTTCTGACAGCCGCATCATGACAGAGAGGACATTTTTTGGTGGGCTGCTAGGAAGTTTGTAAGGAGCTGCATCTGTGTGCCGATGACAGGTTGAAGAACACAGGACTCTTAAGACAGTATGCCATGGACTTCTTCTTGTAGCCCATGTCGTGTGACATTGGCAATCAAGTCTATCCACTGTACTTACAATCAGTTTCTGACAAATATGATTCTCCGTGCATGTCAGACTGTATAGTATCCAGTCTTTTAAAATTTTTTTGACTGGAGAATAGGTGTGCTGGAAAACAGAAAGAAGGGGGGGGGGAGGGGGAGGGGTGTGGGAGGGGTAATTTCATTTTCAGCTACTGAATTAGACTGATTTGCTACACTTGTTGAAATTTTTTTTATAAGCCCACAGAATTTAATCCCTAATTTCTTTGTCTGATTTAAGTAATTCTATATATGTAACTTGAAATATTTTGATCTTTTTCTATATAACCCTAAATTTCAGGTGGTGGGGAAAATAAACGAATTTCTGAGCCAGATAAATTGAACTATCTTATTATATGTCGGTTGTACTTGAGTTTGCGTAATTAGACTCTCGAATCGCAGATGATCTTTTCCTAGAGACAGAACTGTACAGACAAATAGGAAAGGTTTCTACAGTGCTTTACAAACTTACAACAAGAGTGTAGTTAAACAAAAAGCTTATGGATAAGACCAGAATTAAAGTTTATGAAGCTTGCAGTTTGAGCCCACTTTTACGAAAGTGAAACTTGGACTGTGTATTCTCCTAAAGAAAAAAGCTTGAATACTTTCCACATGCGCTGTCTGAGATGCATTCTTGGTTTATCATGGCCAAACTTTGTCCCAGGTGAATGTGTACTTGAAAAAGCAGGAATGCCAACACTGTACTTTCTGCTGAAGCAAAGATGCCTGTATTGCTTAGGACATGTCTCTCACATGCAGGACAGTCATATTCCAAAGGATTTACTGTATGATGAACTGGTAACATGGATAAGATCTTATGGAAGACAAAAGCTACGCTATAAGAACATTTACAAATGTGACCTGAAAGATATCAAAATTGACACAGACGCTCAGGTGAAGTCAGCTGCGGACTGACTCTTTGAAGTAAGTAAGTAAAGATCCCTTTATACGCCTTTAGGCATATCGGGCATATGGGCAGAGCGCCCATATTTTTACAGACCATCAGCACTCGGTGGGTAATGTGGTCAGCATTACGCCCGCTGTCTTTACTTTTCCAGGACAGCCCATCCTGGTACCCATTTTGGGCTGGGTCAACCTGCGACACCCCATACCATGATAAAAATCCACGCAGCCTGCAGTGGGTTTTGATTGCGGTACGTTGTATTACGATTTGGACTCGCAACGCCTTAGCCACGGACGCCGCTGACTCCTTTGAAGGCAGACAGCAAAAGACAGACTGTCACAGTTTGAAAGAGGCCAAATGCAGCAAGCTGTAGAGAAGAGATGTCTGTGAGAAAACAGCCCCAATGATAAAGTATCAACATATTTGTCTGGACGATATGGCAGAGACTACAACTCTTGCACCGGACACTGTTCCCAAAACCAACAACACAACTCCATAGTCCCCAAGGACTGACAATTGCCTACATAAATAACTTGATGTATTGTGAGCTTTTCTATATAATTTTAAATTTTTGGTGGTGGGGAAAATACAAATATTCTCTGTTGGAGAAATTTAACTTATCCTTTTGTATGAATATAACACAACAAATGGACAAAAATGACCCATGGGAACGGCTATCCGTATATGACTGGCATTATACTGAAGTCACCTCAGTGCTATTTGATGATTTTCAACTAAGTGCATTTTATTTGCCACGTTGCATTATCACGCTCATAAATCCCTTGTTCAGATCAGTCACTTTTCAGGCACCTACACAGTTTTTATATGAATGTCTCTTCTGTTCAAACATAATGTTCTTGAAACAGGAATTTAGCACTTCGGTGACCTTGGCATAGTGCCTGTGATTTATACCGTATTTTCCTGATGTATAAGATGATCTCATATATAAGACCCACCTTGATTTTGCAACAGAAGAAAGAAAAAGTAATAATAATGACATAAAATTAATGAACCTAATGTTTTTCCCCCCATAGAATCCAGAAACCTTATCACTGTCAAAACTCTCATTCGTATTATAGTTCTTTATATTTCCCCTTGTCCTCATCTGATGTCGAGTCTTTTCTTAAATGACTTGACAGTGATCTTATTCTTCACAGTATCCTAGGATCTTTTCACCCAGATACAAACTTCTCATATAAATGATTTCTTCACACTACCTGCTAGTGTCAAATTATCACCAGAAGACTTCATCCGTTAGTTCCATTCATCCATCATGGAAACTGTGTTGAGTTGAGTCAAGAATTGACATCACAGCATGTGTACTCCGTCTTCATCTTCGGCAGCCAGCGGAGAGTTCCAATACTGATGGTACCTGTCACAATCTGGTTTTATGTCCGTCTTGCCTTTCCTCTGAGTGTAGTGAGCCGGCCAGACCCTCTGGTTACACCCAGGTGCCTCATTCTCTTCAGGCCATAATAATCTTCTATCTCTACTGATTCCGTTCCTTTGTTCCCAAAGGGTCTGACCACATCTGTCTTGTCATTTATCAGTTCATCACCCAGAGGTGCAGATTCAGCCAATCTGTCTGCCTGTTCATTACCCACTACGCTGGCATAGCCTGGAGAAAAGATCCAAAACGACCTCTTAAACTTTGAAGGGTTTGTTAATGCTGACATCACATGGTTGAGTCTTGGTGAACACAGGAATTCCTTATGTATCAAATATGAAACGTTCAGTGAAAAAACTATTAGAGTGGGAAAGAACCTTTAATTTTAAAATTGTTCTCCCAGTTTTATGTTGCCACCGAACAGGCATTCCCAAATCAGTCTACAGGATATTTTCAAACATATCATGTGGTAAAAAATCTCCTAATATTGTATAAGACTCACACAGTTTTTACACCAGGTATTTTTGGTGCATCTTATACTTAAGGAAATACTATCCTCGTTTATGGGTGAACCATGTGCACATATTTCATGGTTTGTCCATTGTTTGCATTGGAGGAAGGGACAGAGAGAGAGCAGTGTTATGTCAGTCAGATTTCCCAATTATGTTTTTGTCTTATTTATGACACAGTTAGTGATCTGCTTCTCTCTCTCTCTCTCTCTCTCTCTCTCTCTCTCTCTCTCTCTCTCTCTCTCTCTCTCTCTCTCTCTTTCTCTCTCTCTCTCTCTCTCTCTCTCACTCACTCCTCTCTCTCTCTCTCTAATCTGCTAAGGTTCTTCAACGATTGCTGTCAAATTTTGACACAGCATTGCATTCGAAAAAGCGCATACATCCATCCACGCATGCACTTATTCATTCATTCATTCATTCATTCATTTATTCATACATACATACATACATACATACATACATACATACATACATACATACATACATACATACATACATACATACATACATACATACATACATACATACATACATACATACATACATACATACATACACACACACACACATACACACATACACACATACACACACACATACAATACATACATACATACATACATATGCACGCATGCACACACGCACGCACATACACACACACGTACATTTATATATATCTTCATTCTCTTCTTCTGTCCACTCTTTACCCTTCCCTCTCTCTATCTCTTTACTTTCTTCCCTCTCTCCTCTCTTTCCCTTCTGTCTTCTTCCTCTCTCCTTCCTTCCACATCTCTTCCCCTTCCTTTTTCAAAGACTGCTCCTTATTTTCTTCCTCTCTCTTCTCTCTCCGTCATCTCTCTTCGCCCTTCCTCATCTCTCCCTTTCTTCCCCTCTGTTTCTCCTTGCTCTCTTTCCTCTTCTCTCTCTTTATTCAAGTGTTGACAGTTTGTATAAGAAAGAATTAACATCTATATCAGCATTTCCAGGCTGACATATTTTGTGTTCTTATTTACTTTTTCAGGAATACCATGTAAGTATCCATCTTATTTCCCAGCATGCTTTGTAAGTAGAGCATGCCTTATTTCGATTGCCTGCCCTTGAATTGATGTGTAAATAATTCACTGTGTCTTATTCTTTTACACTGCATGTATTGTGTGAGCTGTGAGCTATCTTTGCTTGTTTCGGATGTCAGAACTTCACAAAGTTACTTGAATTATACACTCGCTGTGTCAAAAATATAATGCACAGAGAAAATGAAAAAAAGAGACAAATTTAAAGTTGAGAGGATATTGACTTCATTGCACTCATTGTTTTTTTTTTCTCAAATGACTAGGTCTCTCTCTCTCTCTCTCTCTCTCACTATCTCTCTCTCTTTCTCTCTCTCCCTCTCTCTTCTCTCTCTCTCTCTCTCTCTCTCTCTCTCTCTCTCTCTCTCTCTCTCTCTCTCTCTCTCTCTCTCTGGAGAATGGCTAGCAACCTGCTGAGTGTCACACAGAGCACAAACTCCATATCCTCATGGATTTCTGTAAAAAAAAAATGCTCCTGTGAACCAAACTGCACACTCCATAAAATGAACCCATTACTTTCACACTGCAAGGCAAATGGCTTGGCACCCACTGCAAGGCAAATGGCTAATGGCTCCTATTTTCCAATAGAATTCCCCTCTGCCCCCCCCCCAAGCATGTCAAAGAAAAGCATCCTTTAAAGTCAGAGAACATAGCACAAGAGTAGCAGATCAATAATAGGTTCTTTCCTGATGTTGAAATATGCATTAATGTGAAGAAGAAAAAGAAGAAGAAGGAATAATTTTTCCTCCCCTTAGTGCGTTACCTTGGAAGCTCCATTTTTGGGACTAACAGTTGCCAGAACCAAAGGAATAGACCCATCTGGACCTCCACAACAAGCATGTCACATGAGTCGACTAATAGGGAGCATCCTTTAAAGTCAGAGTACATCTGCCTGATAGGAAAGATACCAAGAGTCTGCATACAGATAGTCAGATCTGTAAAAGGGATGCGCACACAACACTCAAGGTTCTTAAAACATTGTACATTGTCATGGATGTTGACAAGAACCACTCAAGGAATGATACATTACTTTCTTGCATGGACGTTATCAGAATCAAGGAATGATGACATTAAAGACATTGTACAAAACTAACAGTTATCAGAACCACTCAAGAAGATGAATTAATAATTTCCTAACAACAGTATCAGAACCACTAGGAATGATGACATTAAAGACATACATTGTCATGGAGTTATCAGCACTCAAGGAATGATGACATTAAAGACATTGTACATTGTCATGGACTAACAGTTATCAGAACCACTCAAGGAATGATGACATTAAAGACATTGTACATTGTCATGGACTAACAGTTATCAGAACCACTCAAGGAATGATGACATTAAAGACATTGTACATTGTCATGGACTAACAGTTATCAGAACCACTCAAGGAATGATGACATTAAAGACATTGTACAGACATTGACTAACATTGCCACTGGACTAAAGACATTGTACATTGCCATGGACTAACAGTTATCAGAACCACTCAAGGAATGATGACATTAAAGACATTGTACATTGTCATGGACTAACAGTTATCAGAACCACTCAAGGATTGATGACATTAAAGATATTGTACATTGTCATGGACTAACAGTTGCCAGAACCACCCAAGGATTGATGGCATTAAAGATATTGTACATTTACAGAAGTAATGAATAACTGATGATTATTGTACATTGTCATCGGACTAAGTTATCAATGACATTAAAAGATAGTCCATGGACTAACAGTTGCCAGAACCACCCAAGGATTGATGGCATTAAAGATATTGTACATTTACAGAAGTAATGCTGATTTCCAAGAAATGAATAGTCCCTATATATATAATGAAAGTCAAAGGCATTATTTTAGGAAAAGTACAGAAATATAAGTATCTAGGCACATGGATAACATCCGATGGAAGATGAATCGCAGAGATAAAGAACAGAATAGGACAGGCCAGAACTGCCTTTTATAAAATAGAGAACATTTTATGCAATAAATCCATGTCATTGAAGGTTATAGAAAGAATTCTCACAAGCTTTATATAGCCGGTTTTAACATACGGCTGTGAATCCTGGACAATTAGTAAACAAGCCAAACAGTATCTTGTGGCCTCAGAGATGAGGTTTTACGGGAAAATCCTTAGAATTGCTTGGACAGCTAAGTAGAGTAACCAAGATGTTTTGAAAGAGGCAGGTGCTCGAAGACAACTTATCACAAACATCAGAAAGAGACAGTCATAATTTTTTGTTCATGTTATGAGAAGAGGGAAAATGGAAAATGTTGTGAGCACTGGAAAGATTTGTGGAAAGAGAGACAGAGGAAGACAACACTAGAAGATTCTTGACAACCTTTTGTCATGGCATGGAGGGGTAACAACACACAACCTGATGAGGCATGATCACACATGCCAGTTGGCAAGGCACTTAATGACAATAATGAGGATGACATTTGCATAGAATGACAGTGGTCAGAACCACCAGTCAATCACTAGACCACCAACTAATCCTTCCCGTGACACTTAACAGTAAAAGTGGAAAGTAGGATAAAGTAAATGGTGGCACAGGTCTCAGCATTGTGAGACGGTGAAGGCTGTCAGGGATCAAATAAACAATGCAACAAAAACTATCAAGCATACATATCTGGAGAGAAGGATTCGGTCAGGAGCGAGCAGAGGAACTGGGTAAATTTTCTGCCGGCAGGGGAAAAGACAAGTGAATTTTTACTTGGACTGTGATTGGTATTGTCAAATGACGACTGTTGGCTGCTAAGGAAGGGGAAAGAGCATGCGTGGGAATGTCCCAGATGGAGGGGAAATCCATTGCAGCAAGCCTTTATTATGGATCCCTAGAGTTATAAAATACATAAGGGAAGTTTAACTTAATTGCATTTCCTTTTAAGGAAGTTATTATCCAAACCCCTTATTTTCTGGCTCTTGACATGGTTTTACTTTCCAGTTGTATGTTCACTAGTCTGAAACTGCTTACTGAATAGGCTTTTACTTTAAAAAAAAACACACACACAGACCCAGAGGGGAGAGAGAGAGAGTGAGTGAGAGAGAGAGAGAGAGAGAGAGAGAGAGAGAGAGAGAGAGAGAGAGAGAGAGGAGAGAGAGAGAGAGAGAGAGAGAGAGAGAGAGAGAGAGAGAGAGAGAGAGAGAGAGAGAGAGAGAGCAGTCTGCTGCCAAATCACCCGCAGATGTCATTTTACTACATTAGAAAGGAAAATAAGTAATCGAAACTTTAGATATGGGCTGTGTTGCTGGATGCAGAGGTGAAACACAACCTGCAGTTGTGCAACAGGACTAGTAATCAAACTAGCCAAGACCTACCTGTCTCCATGGTCATCTTAGAAAAAAGGTCCCTACCAGCATAGGTAAGATCAGCCTGAGAGGCAAGGAACAGAAATCTACAAATAAGCCAGATCTGTCAAATGGCTGTGCATGCAACGCTCAAGTCCTGGAACAAGGCCAAAGTCCAGGGCATAGACAGATAACTAGTATTTTCCTCCCAGAGTTAAGGCTGGTCAGCGAAGGAGAATTACAACAGTGTTGCTCATTGCTGTTTACTGCATGAGTTGTATGCCAGTGTAATGTTGTCCTCTTGCATGTAATTTGATCTTCCATGCCTGCTTGATGTTTCTGCTTGATCTGTTTTACGAATCCGCTAGCTTATGTTGAACATACTCTAGTGTGTGTTTAAAAAGTCTGCTAGTCACTTCTCTGTTTATGCAGTACCCCACTCACTGCAATCACTGCTCTGTTTATTTAATGCTTTACTGTCTACAATCACTCCTCTGTGTACTTAATGCTCTGTTACTTACAGTCACGTCCCTGTTTACATCATGCCTCACTCACTACAATCACTGCTCTGTTTATCTAATGCTTTATTGTCTTCAATCAATCCTCTAGGTACCTCCCTCATGCTCTGTTGCTTATAGTCACTTCCCTGTTTACATCATGCCCCACTCACTGCAATCACTGCTCTGTTTATCTAATGCTTTACTGTCTACAATTACTCCTGTTTACTTAGTGCTCTGCTGTTTACATCATACCCCACTCACTACAATCACTGCTCTGTTTATCTAATGCTTTACTGTCTACAATCACTCCTGTTTACTTAGTGCTCTGTTGTTTACAGTCTCTTCCCTGTTTATGTAATACCCCACTCACTACAAGTACTGTTCTGTTTATGTAACACTTTGTCAGCTACAGTAATTTCCCTGTCTGTGTAATACTTTATCAGGTACAATCACACCCCTGTATATATAATACTCTATGCTTTACAATCCCTCCTCTGTTTTTAGTAATACCTCATGTTCCCGTATTTCTGTTTATGCAGTACTCCACATGCTACAGTAGTTCACCTGTTTATGTAATAATCTGTCCCATGTTGATGTTTTTTTTTAAAAAAGGTGGGGGTTTTTTTTTTTGGGGGGGGGGGTGGGGGGGGGGGGGGGGGGGGAGCAATATTTTACCAGGAACTCATCAGTTGTTCATCATTAGTTAGTCCAAAGAATGGCATCTAGTTTTGGAGTGTAGCTCTGGCAGGCGGACAAAGCACTGATTCTCCAGCTTCTGCAACATGCTTTGTCCCAAACATGTCAGTTTTACCTTTCCTTTGGAATTCAGAAGGAGAAAAAAAAAAAAAGGCCAAACTCTGTTCGTATGCCCCTCTTACTTATGGCAGACTATCTGAAACCACATTTCCCAAACCTGTGTTTTATGTACAGTTTGTTTTTACCTGTTTGAGTGAACAGTAGTGTAGCTAAATGTAAATTTAACCTGTTAGCCAGAGCCGTATTGGTTTGTTGTAACTCAAGGAGACCTTGTCTTGGCATTTAAAATGTGAAGTGTGCAAAACTTAATGCAAAACTGTCATCATTATTTGCTTAGAGAAAAGAAATAAAGGACATTACTTTTTTAAGTTACTATTGTTAAATTGTTATTAAATTTAGCTACCTTTGACCATGCAAGATTTCTCTGAAGCAGAACTTTTAGGGATAGAAGAGTTTAAAAGAATTACTAACTGGGAATGAACAATTTTAATAAAATACATTGTTTATAATTACATTACATTACATTTGTTAAGCTGCTGACAGAGCCAAACTGTAAAGCGGAAAGGATAATTGAAAAAAGCCATAACTTTTTTTTATGTATGGAAAAAAATGTGTTAAAAATTTAGCAGAAAAGTAGTCAAAAGAACTAAATTTGCTGATCAAAGACCATTGTCTGTGATATATTAACAGTTTCATAATTCTGCATACTAATCCTAATTCAGCTGCAGGCTATTTTGCAGCATACTGCTTTGAATTTATTCCAACAGTCATATTAGTATTGTTTGTTTAGAAAACGAAGAGACACTACTGAATGTAAAATTGCTCTATTGTGCGGAAAACAAGAATAGACCCCCTGCCCCCCCCCCCCCCCCCCCCCCCCCAACAAGCAAGGGTAAGACTTTAATTAGCGGTTTCCTACGAAGTTGCAGTGCATCTGCCTGAGAGGCGAGCAACCAACAGTCTGCATACAAATGAGTGAGATCTGTAAACTGAATGTGCACGCAAGACTGAAGTTCTGGAACAAGGCTGAAGTCCAGAAGGGAATAAACAAACTAGAACTTTCCGCTGGAGTTTACCTGGTGACATTCAAATAAGAAGAAAAATGTAACATTGGCAAGTGAAACCACAAATGCTGGGGTTGGTTTATGATCATCTCAAAGAGGATATGCTGTTTTATGCATCCTAAAGTAGTGTTTCTCAAGCTTTTACCACCTGCGACCCACCAAAAATTGTGTCTCAGCTCACCTGGCAACTAATCAGACACAGAATGATTACAAGTTTCAGCTGATGCAGCATCTTTTGATTCTCGTCCTTGATGTGCTGCTCCTGCGTTCTGCAATCCTTGAAGAAATTAACTATCCTACGCAGTTAAATTATTAGATTATGAAAAAAGTATTAGCTGCCCACCTGGATGCCTCCCCCCCCCCCCCCCCCCCCTGCCCAAGTTGAAGAACACCGGCCTCAAGGCACAGATGGTGCAAGTTGCCTATAAATATACAGCGCAGTTATGCTGCGAATCTTTTCCTTTATTGATGTTATAATATTTCATGTAATTTGATCTTAACTGCATGAGTTGTATTTTATGTTGCATGTTAGTTGCATTTTACTATATGAGTTAATATGCCAGTTTGATGTTGGTCTGTTGTATGAAATTCATAAATCGTATGCCTGCTTGATTTTTCCTGCTTCACTTGTTTAAATGCTTCAACTACTATGTGTAGGAACAAACTGAGGTTGCCAGTCGCGTCTATGTTTATGCAGTACTGCACTTACTGCAATCACTCCCCGATTTATGTAATGCTCCACTTGCTGCAATCATCCCCCAATTTATGTAATACTCCACTTGCTGCAATCTCTCCCCAATTTATGTAATGCTCCACAAGCTTCAATCATACCCCAATTTATGTAATGAAAATGTAATGAAAATGTAGCTTCAATCATCTCCCAGTTTATGTATTACTCCACTTGCTGTAATCATCCCCCAATGTATATAATGCTCCACTTGCTGCAGTCTCTCTCCCAATTTATGTATTACTCCACTTGCTGTAATTAATCTTTCCCAATTTATGTAATGCTCTACTTGCTGCAATCACTCCCCAATTTATGTAATGCTCCACTAGCTTCAGTCATCCCCCACTTTGTGTATTACTCCACTTGCTGTAATCATCCCCAATTTATGTAATGCTCTACTTGCTGCAATCACTCCCCAATTTATGTAATACTCAACCTAATACGATCACTCCCCAATTTATGTAATACTCTACTTGCTGCAATCACTCCCCAATTTATATAATACTCATTCTTATACAATCACTCCCCGATTTATGTAATACTCCACTTGCTGCAATCACTCCCCGATTTAAGTAATACTTCAACTTGCTGCAATCACTCCCCGATTTATGTAATACTTCAACTTGCTGCCGTCAGTCTGCAATTTATGTAATACCACCCAATAAATGAACTCCCTAATTTATGTAATACTTCACTTGATGCAGTCACTCCCAGATTAATGTAACACTTCACCTGATACAATCACTCCCTGATTTATGTAATACTTCAACTTGCTGTATCTCTCCCCAATTTATGTAATACTCCACTTCTGTAGTCTGGCTCCTGTTTATGTAATACTTCACTTGATGCAGTCACTTCCTGATTTATGTAATACTTTAACTTGTTGCAGTCACTCCCTGATTTATATAATACTTCAACTTGCTGTATCTCTCCCCAATTTATGTAATACTCCACTTCTGTAGTCTGGCTCCTGTTTATGTAATACTTCACTTGCTGCAATCTCTGCCATGTTTATGTAATACTTTACTTGCTGCAATCTCTCCCATGTTTAATGTAATACTTTGCTTGCTGCAACCTCTCCCCTGTTTATATAATACTTCACTTGCTGCAGTCACTCCCCTGTTTATGTAATACTCCACCTGCTGCAATCTCTCCCCTGTTTATGTAATACTCCACCTGCTGCAGTCACTCCCCAATTTATGTAATACTCCACCTGCTGCAGTCTCTCCCCTGTTTATGTAATACTCCACCTGCTGCAGTCTCTCCCCTGTTTATGTAATACTTCACTTGCTGCAGTCTCTCCCCTGTTTATGTAATACTCCACTTGCTGCAATCTCTCCCCTGTTTATGTAATACTCCACTTGCTGCAGCTCTCCCCTGTTTATGTAATACTCCACCTGCTGCAATCTCCCCCCTGTTTATGTAAAACTCCACTTGCTGCAATCTCCTCCCTGTTTATGTAATACTTCACTTGCTGCAATCTCTCCCCTGTTTATGTAATACTTCACTTGCTGCAATCTCTCCCCTGTTTATGTAATACTTCACTTGCTGCAATCTCTCCCCTGTTTATGTAATACTTCACTTGCTGCAATCTCTCCCCTGTTTATGTAATACTTCACTTGCTGCAATCTCTCCCCTGTTTATGTAATACTCCACCTGCTGCAGTCTCTCCCCTGTTTATGTAATACTCCACTTGCTGCAGTCTCCCCCCTGTTTATGTAATACTTCTCTTGCTGCAGTCTCTCCCCTGTTTATGTAATACTTCAGTTGCTAAACCACTGCTGTGAGTAAACTTAGTTGAGTAACCCTGTGATAAAACATGGCAGAGAGGAGTTAGATGTAGTTTCCTGTCTGTTGCTAGCTTGTGTTAATGTCATATTACATTTCTGTAGTGTTTATTTTTTTTTTTTTTACTTCTCCACCGATCTCTTTTTAGTTGATCTTTTGCCTTGTAGCCTGCTTTCTTGTGTGAATCATGCTCTGGCTTCTGGCTAAATTTGTTCCATTCTTATGTAACAATTTAACCAGTATGTGCATGTAAGTACAGACATATACAAAAGATGGAAAGTTGGTTATGTGTCTGATAGTTCAATGTGTACATGCTATCGTTAAATATAATAATAATTAATAACTTTTTTTCTTTTGCAGTATATGAACATTGGGTGGTTGTTCTTTATATCAAAGCCTATAGAATTTCTAGACACGGTAAGATTTCTCCCTGTTGTCACTTAAAACTGAAAATACATTAAAAAAAAATTTTGGGGGGCCTAGAACACAAGTAAAGACACATGAGGACTCATATTTGTACAGACCATTTGGTCTTCGAAGGATGATGTGGTCAGCATAACGCTGACTGCCTTTTACCTCCCAGATCATTTCCTGGTATCCATTTTAGGCTGGGTCAACCTGGGAGCGAGGGTCTTTTTTGTGTGTGTGTGTGTGTTAAAATCCAGATCGACCCAGTGTTGATTCAAACTCAGGGTCTGTCTTTTGACTGGCAGGCGAGCATCTAACCACTGCACTGCCATGGCTCTGTTTCTGTCATTTGCTTATTTAAAATTAGTGTTTAGTCTTGTCTGGCTGATGGGTATTGATATAGAAAGGTGATTGAGCAGAATGAAGACATGGGACTAGTCAAGTTGCACATACTCTCACTCTCTCTCTCTCTCTCTCTCTCTCTCTCTCTCTCTCTCTCTCTCTCTCTCTCTCTCTCTCTCTCTCTCTCTCTCTCTCTCTCTCTCTCTCTCTCTCTCTCTCTCTCTCTCTCTCTCTCTCTCTCTCTCTCTCTCTCTCTCTCTCTCTCTCTCTCTCTCTCTCTCTCTCTCTACCTCTTCTCTACCAGCAGGTGACATCTGCACTAACTTCAGAGCTGAGGCAACCGCCCTCCTGTCTGCAGTCCAACATCTCATCACTCAAGAACACAGAGGGCACAAAGTTGTTATACTTAGTGACTCATTGTCTGTTCTCCAAGCACTATCAAGCAAAAAACAAGACAAACTAATTGCAGATCTAAGGACCAATATTTGCTTACTCCCAAGGAAGCAGAACTGGTCTTGCAGTGGATACCAGCCCACTGGGGTATTCAAGGAAATGAGATAGCAGATGAGTTGGCAAAAGCTGGGAGCTCATCCACCACACAGCTACAAGGAAACCAAAACAGCGCTAAAGCAGTCTTTTAGTCAGGAGTGGAGAAGGCAGAATGGAGATTACAGACCAGAGAGTGACAGCATAAACAAACTTAACAGGAAAGAACAAACATCAATTTTTATACTTCGGACTGGATAGGCATAAAGAATCTGCTGCCTGTGATTGTGGAGCAGAAAGACAGACCCCTGAGCACATACTGCAGTACTGCCCTTACCTCTCCCAGCAAAGACTAGATCTGGCCCAGAGGATCCACACTGCGAGAGAAGCTATGGGGGACCGGTGGCAACCTTAGAACGCACAATCCTATTTTTGACCTAGACGGGACTCAATGTTTAGCATGACTGATGTCGAACGCAGAAGAAGAAGAAGAAGAAGTTCACTCACTTCCAAAGGACTTTTAAAACACTTAGCCTTTCATGCATCATTTCACTGCCAGATATTGCAGAACAGCCAGTCTGTCTGTTCATTTACCAACACACCAGCATATCCTGGAGAAAATATTCAAAGGACACTAACTACCTTTTACCACCCTTCATAGAACATACCTGTCTCCACCTTCCTTACCATGCTCTGTGAGTCAGTTACAGTTATGACATGTCTGCATAGCTTGTTCTCAAACCAGCAGGTGGCTGCATTGACTTCCTCCACCTCATTCTGAAACTTTATGTTGTATCATATGCCAGATTTTGTTGCACCAAGTCACATCTATTCGGCTTTGCTGAGAACCCCCATGCACTTTATCTGTTTGAGCACAGAGCCATCTGTATACAAATTCATATCACCTCGGTGGGAATATCCATGAATCAGTTTTTGAACTTATGATTCTGCAGCACCCATTGGCCAGTCCATGTTCTCATGGCCCAGTTTGATTAGAACCAAACACAAGTCAATTTGTTGCTTGGATACTTTGACTCACTCCTCTCGTTGCCCATGGGGACGGAGCACTTATGGCAGTGTCCTGACTGCTGTTGTGTCAATTCTGAATTCGGCATTCAACATTCCTCTCGTTGCCCAACGAGGCCCGCACATATGTCTGATTGTTTGAATGCGTAATACCAATATTAAAATGATGATAGACTGGAAGTAACTAATGTCAAAGAAAATAACCTTTCACTTTGTCTGTTCCTATGCCAGCTGTCTTTGTCATCTTTCCACGCGTTGTATCGGGTACTTTATAGATCAGTCACTCATTAAATCTTTACTCTACAATTTACTTTAAAAAGTCTACCTTGTCTGTTTAAATTTGATTCACACATTGTCTCATTTTAATCAGGTGCTTCTGAAGATGTTAATCACTTTGATGATCCTGTAGAAGACTAATCGATTACCACATTGTTGCCCATTTAGAATAGATGGTGATACCATACCATACCATAAAAGGCTCATAACAAAAGAAGAGAGAAATGAAGAGCGTGAAATTAGGCCAAGAAGGATGTGGAGAGATCACACCAGAAAAACTAGGGTCCCATATCTTATATATATATATATTATATCTTGAGCGTGTCTGGTTGATGCAGCTAGAAGAGCGAGAGTTAGGTCTGAACTCACATGATAATTTTCCATGTGCAGTGAAATCAGTTGTATTAACCCAACATTTTCCTGAAAATGATCAAGAAAACATGAAGAGTTGATTGGTACAGGAAGAACTGAAAATTGTTTGATCTGCTGTACATATTAAATGGTGACTTTGATCCCCCAGGTATTCTTCATCCTTCGAAAGAAGAACAGCCAAATCACCTTCCTGCATGTGTACCACCACGCCACTATGACAGTTTTCACCTGGTTGGGCGTGAAGTTTCTGCCTGGAGGCTCAAGTATGTTTGTATAAATATAGTTTTCTTTATAGTTCCATAGGTTGTGGGGGAATTAATTATATTGTCTTCATTGTTCTATAAACCAAATATGTCTTCTTCATTGTTCTTTAGATCATGGGGGAATCAAGTATGTTTTCTTCATTGTTCTTTAGATCTTGGAAAGGGGTGGGGGGGAAGATCAAGTATGCTTTTTGTATTCTTCTGTAAGTTATGGCGGTATTGGGTATGTTGTCTTCATTATTCTTTAGGATGTGTGGGAATCAAGGATGCTTTATTTTTGTTCTTTGTTCTACAGGTTATGGGGGAATCAAGTATGTTGGCTTCATTGCCCTATAGATTGTGTATATTTGTGGGGGGGGGGGGGGGTTAACTATGCTTTCCTCATTGTTCAATAGGCTGTGGCAAGAATTAAGTATATTTTCTTCCGTCTGTAGGTGGTTGGGGAGTACAGTATGTTTTCTCTATTGTTCTGCTATTTGGCGGGGGAATCAGGTGTATTTTTTTCATTATTCTTTTCTTTGTTATTCTATAGGTTGTGGAGGAATTGTGTTGTATGCTAGCCTTGACATCTGTGTAGAGGCATTGAAAGATTTAACAGGTAGTGATTCAGTACAGCACAGAATATACCGAAGTGATTCAGGAAATTCTTAGACAATTATGGATCGAGAAAAAATAATAATTGACAATCTATTAACTCTTTGAGTCCCAGATGCCCAAGTGGTAGTCAAAAGAGACGAACAATCAGCGCATTATGCGTTCATTGGGCTTCTATGCAGTAACCTATGAACGCATGATGTGTTCCTTGGGACTCAAAGAGTTAATGGAATGGTTCGTAAATAGCATCTAGTCTTGGAGAATATTATGGTGGCCATATCACATATCACAGTCTGGGAAAGAACTGTCATGGAAGACAGGAAACTGGGAAAGAGAGACAGGGGTGATAAGCATGATGGTAGACACAGGACATTAAGACACCCTGCGCTGGAAAGTGCATGAGGTGGTTGAGCTAGAGAAGGACTGAGTTTCTTTTACTCAGGGTGTAATGATAGCAACCTTCGTTGAAGGACTTAGCTACTTGCTGTAGATCTATAAGGTTCAAGATTCTCCTCATCACTGTTGAAATTCTGACTACTCAGAGACTGAATTAACCAAAGTATTGATCACCTATTGGATTGTGAAAAGCCTAGAGCTACTTCGCTTTACTGTTAAAGCGCTTAGTTCATCAGCTGCTTCATTGTGAATTTTCAGAATTTTTTTTTGCATTAAATCACACAAAGTCAATCCAAACATTTGTGGGCAGCCATTTGCAATGAGGTTTGACCACAATTAGTTGGTAATTTTTAGTTGTGACGCATTTTCCCCCCAAGTAGTTTACAAAGTACATTTTAGGTCCTGCGGTTCAGCGGAAGATTAGAAAATTACAGGAAAAGTAGTACAGCGGTCTGGTTAACAGAAATTGCAGACCAGTGCATAAATAAAAAACTATTATTGAATTTATTTTGTGACCTTTTTCTTGTCTTATCCACAGACGTCATCTACCCTCTCATCAACAGTTTTGTCCATGCCATTATGTACACTTACTATGGCTTGTCTGCCTTCGGGCCCAGCATGAGGAAATACTTATGGTGGAAAAAATACCTCACAACACTGCAAATTGTGAGTGATTGCTTAGTCCGTTGTCTCTGAAGGTTTTTTTTTTTTTAATAGCCTTCCACGCTGTTTTTAGAAATATTAGATTGTGTGATAATTTTCTGCCAGTAAAAGACACTAGCAGAACATCTGGGAGGAAGGCGATGGGGGAAGACCAACTAAGAGAAGTATAAATGATGAAAAAAGGACTAGATCCATCACCCAAGTCAGACGAGAAGGGCAAGACATATACAGAAAACCACAACAAAAAGCCTTCAACCTGGTATCACTGAGACGACAAAAGAAGAAGCAAATAAGATGCTCTGAAATATAAGACACCCTTCATTTTGGGATTGGAATTTGAAAATAGTAAACATATACTGCTAATGTATAAAACACATTGTTTTTAGACCCCATATTTTTTGGAAAACAAGTTTTATTTATACTTGGAAACACAGTAATATTTATGATTGACTCTCAGAGATGTACAGGAAATCAGTGAAGATTGGACAACATAAAAATAGAAAGCTATAGTTACCATAAAGTGAAACAGTGACTCACTACAAGAATAAGTGTACTTTGAGGCCTGAACAGCGAGACCCAGAACAAATATTAAAAAAATAGATGCATAGAATTTTTTTTTTGTAAGAGAAAATGTCTTGTATCAGCGTGTGGAAGATGTATCAAAGAAGTTATGCGTGAAATAGCTCAAGCAAAGGCAGCATTTTACAAAACATAGTTTGTTCTGCGCAACCTTTCATTGTCAGCTGTGATGAGAAAAAGAATTAAGCTATATAAATCCTGATATACGGAAGTGAATCATTAACAGTTGGTTAATTAGTGAAAAATAATTTGGTAGTGGGGAGGATGTGGTTTTATAGATGAAAGATGAGAATATCATGGACAGATTAAAAAAAAAGTAAGGAGAATGTAAACTGAAGAGAAGAACAATCTTCACTCTTTGGTCATATCATGAGAAGGGAAAAACTAGAGAACACCTTGATGGGGGAGAGTTAAGGAGGAGAGGCAAAAGAACATTAGCTTTTACAATTCTGTTGCCAAGAGAGCACCATAAAAAATTCACCGTTTCTGTGTTGATGACAGCACCCATTTCTGCACACCAGTCAGTCGCATTGTCTGCAGTTGCCTTTTGCTCTTGGGCTGTCTTGTTTCCTATTGCTTTCCTGCTTATGGGCAAGAACATCATCTGCAAATGTCAGTATCTTTCCAATACCTGATGCTTCAAGTTCTGCAATCTTGCTTTTATACACTTTGAAGAGCACTTTGAAGAGCACTGGTAGTCCCGGGGAATATTAAATGGTTCTGAACTGTACTATGGTAGTCCATACATGGGGACAGCTTCTATTTCAAACCATGGTTCCCCTCTCCATGAGCGCAGGTCTCTGTACTCTCAAGCATGCAAAGGGCAACCTTTCTGCTGGATACATGAATGCAGGGAAGAAAAGTAGCTTTGACCTATCCAATAACCAAATATTTTCAAAATTGTAGTTTAAACCAAATCTTTCTATGGACAGACAAACCCCCCCCCCCCCCTAAAACTGCTGAGTTTGGAATGATCCCCACCCCCCCGGTTTTTTTAGGGTGATAATCCTAGAAGTCAAAAATGATCTTTGCCTGGTTTTGGAAAAAATTAGTTAGCCCTTACCCATTCGGAGAGATAAAGCTGAACCCAGAACCTCTAACACTCGAGGAGGAAACCATGCCTTGTGACCACGCAGCCCCCTTATCACATCCAAGAGAAATTTTAAGGTGAATGTTGATGAGAAGCCAGAGGTTCTGGACTGGATTACATCCATGATATCAAAGTAATTTCACAGCATAGAACAGATGGAAAATTAGACCGAGCCCTATGTGAGAAATAATGGCATAGTAAGTGAAGTAGTAAAGATCCATTTTCACACCTTAAGCACATTGGGCATATGGGAACAGCACCCATATTTTTACAGACCAATCGACACTAGGTGGGTAATGTGGTCAGCATTACGCTGGTCGTTTTTACTTCCCCAGGACATACATCCTGATTTGCTGGCCCAGTACTGGACAGAAGTGATGTTATCAATGCTATGTGGTGCACTTACCTTACCAAGGAGCATGCCGAAGGACATAACTCTGTATCCCTGTCTAGACTGATGGACATGGGGATGCAGCCTGGAGCTGCAAGACATAAACATTTCACTAAGGGGACAAGACGTTTCGTTAACCAATACAGAACAGGCATCATTAGTCATTTTACACTTGCGAGGCTTTCGATGAAGAGATCGGAGCACCTACAGATCTGTCCAGTGTGCTGTGATGATAATTATTTCTAATCACTAATCACTATACATCCTGGTACCCATTTTGGACTGGGTCGACTTGTAACTCCCCATATCATGATAAACATCCATGCAGCCAGCAGTGGGTTTCATCGCGGTATGTTGGAATAGTAGGACAATGAAATCATGTGCCCAATGGTGTGAACAAGCTCTTTTTTCTACCCTTAAGTGCAGTGGTACTGAGTTTAGATCTATGATCTCATAGTAATTGTTAAGTACTTGTTTAATTTTGTGTTTTTTCTTTCCAAACTCCACAGAGCCAGTTTGTCATTTTTCTGACGCAGGGAGTCCTCAATGTCGTGTATGACTGTCCATTCCCTAAAGTATTTGTGTATGCTGTATATGTTTACACATTTTCAATCTTGTTGTTATTCATCAACTTCTACATCAAAGCCTACATCAAGAGTCCCTCACAGAAGCATGTCAAAACCGATGGGGTTGTTAAAAATGGACGTGCCCAGAATGGAAAAGTGGCATCCAGTGCTGTCAACGGGGAGGTTACATCTAGTGCTGTCAATGGGGACATTTTTGCCAGTGTCAAAAATGGAGAAATTTCTGCCAAAGGAGATTTTAAAAAGATTAACTAAGTTTGTTATTATTATCTTTTTTGTTTCGTATGAAGTGAGTGTGAGATCTAAAATGCCAGTAGGGAAAAATGCTTACTTTATGCAAGGGACATTAATAATAAATTTTCTTTTCAAATAGAATTTTTTTTTGCAAAGTGTGCAGAAATTCTTGCAATGGTGCACTGAGATGCTCTTTGTGAAATCTTTTGCTTATTGTGTGTCAAAAGTGTGCGAGTCTCAGATCATGAGTATTTGTGTGGATATTTATGTACCTGTACAAGCTGATTTGTGTGAGTTGAAAGAATACCATTAAGCAGAATATCATGCTTACGATAATGTCCGATTGTGCATGTCTTTATTATTATATATATTTTTTGAATATTTTGCTTTTTTTTAAAAAAAAACATTTTCTTATCTTTGCAGCAGCATAAAGTCAGTTTATCATTTTTTTGTGTTCTCTTTGTTTATCTTCCTTTCTTCCAGCCTCTTGTCTCTCTTTCATCTCCCCTTTCTTGATTTTTCTCATATTTCATTTCTGTTTTGCCCTGCTGATTTCTTTCCTGCTTCAACTCCCCTACTTCACCATTCTCTTCTCCTTGCTCTATTATTCCTTCTCTCTCTCTCTCTCTCTCTCTCTCTCTCTCTCTCTCTCTCTCTCTCTCTATATATATATATATATATATATATATATATATATATATATATATATATATATATATATATATATATATATATATATATATATATATATATATATATATATATATATATATATATTATATTTACAGAGAGAGAGCCCTAGTTTTCTTCCCTTCTCCCATCTTTTTTCTCACCAGGCTCTGTTCTTTTTTCTACCATCTCTCCCCTGTTTTTACATCTTATTCTCTCTCTTCCCCCTCTCTTTTCTCTCCTTCTCTCTCTCTCTCTCTCTCTCTCTCTCTCTCTCTCTCTCTCTCTCTCTCTCTCTCTCTCTCTCTCTCTCTCTCTCTCTCTCTCTCTCTCTCTCTCTCTCACTCACTCACATGGACATTCAGTGGACATTCATAATTTTATTTACTTTCTGTTTGTTACCTAGGGTCAGTTTAAATTCTTTTTAAACAAAAAACTTACATGTTTTGTATATTTACCTGTGAGCATGATAGAGAGAAAAAGAGAGATAAGATAATGCAGTGGGAAAAATGTATTTTGGTCATGCTAGAAAATAATTTGGAAGCAGAAAAAAAACACACATTGTTTGCATATCCATTCTTTACATTACATTAATAATTATTATTCTTATAAGAAATTTATAGATAAGAATATTAATTTTTTTTAATATATTCTTGATTTGTTAAAGGGAGCTTATGTATTATATTGTCACAAATGTTATTATCTGCTGCATGCTGCATTATCTCCTCTTGGTTGATAAATCATTTTTGTTTTTATAAGCATCTCATGAATTAAGGAATTATCTTATCAAATATTAAATGAATGTCGTTATATAAAAATAAAACAGATCTTTCTTTATAGATATGTTTTGTTAACCACAACAGTGTTTGTTACTTTGTTTGTGTGTCTGTGTGTTATTTACTTGTTAGTTATGGAAAATACATATATTCAGTTTTCTAAAACAAGGAGCCAAACAATAGATTGAACACTTTTTTTGCCTGGCATATTTCATCATCAGCAATCTCTTCATCCCCTTGTGGGATGCAGTTTTTAATTATTTTGAAGCCCCACCCTGGCTTTTTTGGGGGGCCCTAAATAAAGCCGGGCGGGGTAATATGGCCGGACGGCTGCGAGACCTCTCCATGGGTGATCCTTGTCTGCATGGTGGCACTTTGTGTCACCGGGTGTTTATCGCTTGTTTGATGTCCTGGTGGCTTACAACTACCTACCTACATATATTGTCAGCAGCATTTACAAATGAGGAATATTTTATGCAAGCTTCCTTTGTCAATTGAGACGAGGAAGAGAATTTTTAAAAGCTATATAAATTCTAAATCAATATATGGGTGTGAATCATGGACAAGGTAGTTAATTAGTGAAAACTTATTTGGAAACTGGAGATGTGGTTTTATGGGTGAATGATGAGAATACCCTGGACAGATAAAAAGAGTAACAAAGACCTCTGGAAAAAAGTTGAATCACGAAGAGAATTGATTGCCCACATCAGAAAGAGACAACATACATTCTTTGGTCATGTGATGAGAAGGAGAAAACTAAAGTACATCCTGACAGTAGTAAAGTTGAAAGGGAGGAGAGGCAGAGGGAGACTTAGAGAAAAAATGCTGGACAGTTTGACATCATGGCACAGACGATTATCTGTGTCAGAGTTCATTGAAAGTGCATGAGACAGAAGGTTGTAGCTAGACATGACTGCCAAAGACACACGGTATGAATTTTAAAAGATTTAATTGTATGTCATCAGATGCATACTAACATAACAACTAAAACAACTAAAAGAGAATAAGTGAACCCTGAAGCACAGTTTCAGCCTCTCTCAAAAGTAACTGCTTGTTTTGCCAGGATAACCCAGGTTCACAGCCATGTCTTGCCAGGCAATAAACTGTGCAGTTTATGTTATGTTATGTTATGATATGATAACCTGAAAAAGAAATTTTTGAAAAGAAAAGGCAGTGAATAAACAGTATGAGGATAGAATTTTGAAACATGGTTATCTAGATAACCATGTTTCAAAATTCTATCCTCATACTGAATATTCAAGGAGGAAAAATCAATACTGGATGGACTGGATAAGAAAAATAATGTATTTCAGCCATATAATGAGATAGTTTCTTGATCGAAAAGCAAGTGCCTGAAGAAGATTGCAGCTTCCATGCTCTGTAGGTAATGCATTCTTTTAATTGGAAAAGGGGGGGGGGGGGAATTGTATTATTTGATTCACAGGGTATTCCTGTGCTGAGTTCTCAGTGTGAAAGGTAATTATAGAGCAGAGGCCCTGGCTGGCAGTGTGACTATCAGGAATGGGCCATCTATGGACAGGAGAGACATCATCAATGACATATGAGAGACTAAATGCTGTGAGGCTTTCAGTTTCATGGAATATGATTTGTCACTGAGACAGGACCGTGCAGGAACCACCTGTAGCTACATCAGCCATAACATAATGGGAGTTGTTAGCCTAAAAAACATTTGTAGACATACTCAGGGGGAGATTGCAGGCAGCACTTAATGTCATGTGTGATTATGATCTTTAAAATGAACAATCAGTTCTTAGCAAGCACTCAGCTTCTCTAGATAGGAAGAATAAGACATATGGGTATAAACCTAGTGCAATGAACCCGGTTCTTTTAGATTTGTAAACAATAACAACAAAAGAAAAAACCAGATGTAACTCTTCCACTCTTACCAAACCTAGTAAATTTAGTTGGAGCATGCTAGAGAAATCTGGCCTACTCAATTGTCCTCTTCCATTATACTTGAAAAAAAAATATTTTATTGTGCTGTCTCACAGTGGTTGTTGCTACTATGCTAACTATGGGAATGTAACATGATGAAATCCCAATTTCTTAAACAGTGCAACTCTTCTACCACTGGCTGAAAGCCACAAGAATCCTGGTAAAAATCAGGGATTACATTTTGAAACAATTTCACAAACCTGTCTAAGCGAGAGTTGTATTATAACCACTCCTCAAACAATTGTGCTCTTCTCTTTTTTCTTAGGGATTATTTCCCAATCTGTTGTAAAATCTTCTATGCCTGAAAAGAGTTTGGAAGTGATATAAATTTTAGTTTTGGTTGGCAATACCTGACAGAAAGACAATCTCTATGGTTGAGCCAGCTGGCCTTGAAGCTTGTAAGTTCATGAGTGATTTTTTGGGTCAGGGGGAGAGGGGCATTCCTGGTGATCGTTGCTGGATCTACAGAGTTTGGTCTTGTTGAGATGCTCTTATGCTGCTACCTGCTTTGAAGAGAGAGACTTGGCCAGCCAGACGGGATAAAACCTGGCACAATGAAGTTGGTCTTCCCCACCTATAACCACATTGTCACAATCAGCGATGATAAACTGGTGTTGTTCAACTGGCATGCAGCCTAGTTATATTGATACCAGTTTGTCACAAATGAAGTCTAACATTCTCACTTCTGCTAAGGCAAAAGTTTATATTCAACCAGACATAAATAAAAAATAAAAAAAATACCCCACTTGCATGTTACATGTGAAAAGACAAAATCCCTAACAGTGCTAAGGATATAATTTGATGATAGTTCGTTTTCAATATTTGTATGCTGAATAAATAAATTTGGGACTTCTTGAATACCATTTTAATTTTCTTACAAATTGGATGTAAACTGATGTAATAACATTTTCTGTGTGACAGTTGTCTGTTTATGCACATATTACTAAATTTCTTATAAGAAAATTGGTTTTAAATATTTGCTTAGTAATTTGTCATCGCTTGTACAGGCTTCATAATGAATGTGCATCTCTGTTTTTCTACTTTGTCAATATTTCAAAAGATTCAGGCACATTTTTTTCAAAATATGATTTTAATTAAATGTTCTGACCTGCGTAAACTGAAATGCTTAGCTGACCTAGATTCACAGGCAATAGCAGAAGTGAGTTGGCAGACATATTTGTACTAAAGGTATTCATAGTTGGGAGAACTAAATTTTGGCATATATGAAATTATGTTTGTATCAGATAAGCAGGTTTTCTTGACATAACAACCTGTCCAAGAAATTACATTAAGATCACAGAATATGGAAAAATAGGAAGCTTTAAAAAAAAATTGTATAAGAACTTTAAAGGAGATGTCATTTTATTTAACAGTTAGTCAGAGGAATTTTAGGGTACCAGGGGATCTGGCCGACGCTCAACACTTGGAGGAAGGATGAGTCGGATATACAATTAGGTGGTTAGTGGTACCATTGGAATTGGAACTCTTTGTTTGCTGCTGAAGGTGGTAAGTGAGCACTCATTGGAGTGTCCTGAGTGTTGTGATGGTCGATTATTAGTTCAACATTAATTCAAAATGTGAAAAAAAAAAAGTTATTATAACAAGAGACCTAATTTTAAT